TACAACTGAGGCAAGCATTAAAAGGTCAGGTAAGGGTGAATTTACAACCAGAAAATTGGCACTAGGCCCTATGGTGTTGATTATACCAATCTAATGATTATATTGACGCTGATTGCGAATCTCTAACCATTTGCTAGTTATGTTAGCAAAAAGGTCCCACCCCTTTCCCAGCCCAACTTGAGTGATACTTTATGTAGCGATGAAACTCAGTCAGAAAATGAAGTCAATGATCCCTTACTCAACAGCAACGAAACATCTTTGCAGAACAAGAATATTGACATGAATTAGAAACCAGGAATTAGCTCACAACCTTGCCGTTTCGTTGAAACAAAAAAACTATTGGAATGTCGACATGATAATGTGGTGTACTTCTCAGACACAGCTGGTAAACCTCACGACAAAGGCTCTCGAAGGCTCATTAAAGGCAATAAAATAGCCGCACTTTGTCTCACAGAGTTAGGAAGCGTCAGTATAAGAAAAATGACTAACAAGAAGTATCAAATCACGCTCTGCCTCATGGAAGAGGAAGAAGAATCACAGTTAATTATAAAAAACAAATTAAAGACGCTACATGAAATGCTTAAGACGAAACTGATTGAAACACATATAAGCACGGTCAGTACAGCTAAGAGCCAGACCATATGCAACTTGGATTGGTCGGTAGTGATCAACTTCTTGAAGGACAAATTCTCAAACAGCGATGTTAAGGTTGTGATTTGTAAAAATGTCTTAATAAATGCTCACAACAATGATAGAGACAGAATATTTTACGAAGCCCACAAGTTTCCTATCGGAGGCCACCGAGGTGTGTCCAAGACATTGGGACGTATACGGCAGAAATATTACTGGGAAAAACTAAAACACAACATTCAAAGACGTATCCAACAGTGCTTAGAATGTCAACTAAGGAAATTAGTACGGGTAAAGACGAACAACCTATGCTAATAACTGGTACACCTGGAAATGTATTCGATGAAGTAGCTCTGGATATTGTTGGCCGGTTACCCAAAATCAAAAACGGAAACGAATATATACTGACAATGCAGGACTAACTTTTCAAGTTTTGCTAGCAGTAACGTTAAAAGATGCCACTTTAGCAACAATCGCCGACGCTTTCGTGAAATGAAGTATCGTACTTATAATTAGTACTATCAGAATGAGTGGGATACAACTGTGGAGCACAAACTGTGAACGTTACCACCTTACAATTGCTAGAAGTCGATCCTTGTGATATCTTGATGGGCACAGTTTAGTACACGAAGCGTTATATGCAGCTGTTACAAGTAAACCATTGTGTGCAGAGGCATGTCATACAATGTAAAGTGGTAATTCAACATTAAATTCGTCACTGTGGTATGCATTTTCAAAGCTCTGCAGTGAATAATGGAGATGCAAACTTTATTGATGAGATATACCGAGATAAGTGCATGAGAATATACTACTCAGGGCTATACAGGAAGAACCTGCTAGTCCTGCAAGGAAACAGGATTATTAATACTACTAGTACTTTTGCCACCTTTGCAGGATCACTTACGTCTGATAGAGATTGCAAGGGAGCCTATTATGCAGATCGCTACGGCTCTTGGAGCGAAGTAACAGTACAAGGCACGCTTCAAGTCAAGGTTCAGGAGTATTATGGTCGAGTCCACTTGCTTGAAGATATAATTATATTGAATTCTGGTACACGCTGCTCTTTAAGTACAGGCCAATATACAGATTAAGACGGAAATAGTACTTACTGAATCGTCCTTCCTCCAACTAACTGCAACTTTGAGATATATGACGTTTTCTTAGAAGGACTAGCTGATCGTACCGAAGACCTTAATGATCCACAAGTAGAAGTTATCTACTTTTTTGAATCAGAGGATACAACGTTCGCTTTAGCAAAGAAAAAGATGGACCAAATCTGCGGGTACAGCGTAATTCGGACCAAGCACCCTAAGCTCTTCATCTTTGAGACGTGAAAGGGGCAGACTTTTGTAGCTAAGGGATCTGGAAACACCGAAAATATGGATCTCTTCGCGTACATGAACTCGGAATTCGTTTATGCTGAGAGACATGTCAGATCGCAAGTTTGACTCGCCATAGCTGATACATTCCCTGACCAGTTCACCTACACCATTATAAAAGGGCCTGGCTACATGGCTACCGTCACTGGGGAAGCTATTCGAATCATCGGATGTATATCTGTCGAAGTGACTCTGGTGAAAGAAAAATCCTATACTCCCTCAACTAAGCAAGATAAATAGCAGATGGTATCAAGTATTGGACATGCTAACAGAAGTGAAGACCACCAAAGCTTTAAAGCCGATGACAAAGACCACTTGGCAATATGCCAAACCATCAAACCTGGCAACGAGCGGCATATACACTTCCAGTGATATTGAGAGACTGAGAGATCAAACAATGTTACCAATCGAACAGCCAGCGCTTCCTAATAATATCGCACGAGATATGCACGGGCAACCAGAAATCGGCTATCGAAGCTCCATTTTCAGGGTCCTCAACAAAGCATCACTGGAGGAACTAGCTGACAATGCCTGGTAACGTGTATGGGAAAAAATGACCGCTTTTGGCAACGCTAGTGCAGAATTTGTAGCTATCTATCTAATTATCCACATAATTAAAACTATAGCAAAAGGATTGATAAAAAGCTACCGATTACACCAAACTTACGAGTGCTCAGTACGTATGCTTGGCGCAGTTTGGAATACACTTACTAAATTGTTGGTTTTCGTGAGACAAGATCATCCAAATCACCGGAGAAATAGAAACCGCAAACCGTAAGAATAAGCTAAAATGCAGTACTAAATTCACGTACCAGAATACATGCAGAAAAAAAACCTAATTACTTCCCGAACCCAAGACCCCAACTTAAAAGAGGGTCCACTTTACGCTATTTCATAATAACCCACGGAAGAGTAGTGCACAACCCAATGTACCGCTTTTTCCAAAACAGGTACTCAGCGAACTACTTCCAAGACTTCACCAAAAAGCCCTAGTACCAGTTGAAGGAGGGGGGTAATAGAGGAGGCCCAGCCCCATTTATGCAAAAAAATTGAGTTTTTTTCGATGACGTGTATAAGCGTTGCTAACCCTAATTATAGTATAGGTTCTAGTTAAAGTTTCCATTACTGTTTTTCCCTCACCACAGGGTCCCCCATTGTTTTGTCCGTACTTTAAGGCCACCCTGAGAAAATGCGGGACCAATCAATAATCATGGGTAAATGAGAAAATACTAACCACAGTACGTAAATAAAATTTATCATACTGTAAACTAGGTAAATAAGTTATTTACACTCAGCAAATTGTTCCCAGGCCTTTTTTTTACAAAAGCCATACTACCAGTTTTAGGAGGGGAGTGTTATGTTGGTGAAATAAAATTACAAACAAATTTTTTTTTCTCTGCTCATTCCCTAGAAATGTTGTTTTGGAAGCTCTTTAGCAAAGACCAACGTGCATCTAAAAAGAGGTGAATCACCTGCAAGTCACTTATATCTGCAGTACAATGAGGATTCATGTACATGCACGCTGGCCAATGCTGACCGGAAATGAAAAACTAAATATTTTTGGACAACTGCAGATGCAAAAGTTTAACTGGCCACAGTTAAACTAAAAAATTGAAGACAAATATACTTTTAGACTAGGATCAAACAACGTAAAGTTAAATATTAGGATAGCTTAAAATGAATACATATGAATAAATAAAAATGTAAGAAAAAGCCATCACAAATAAACAGTATACACTACACCACTAGCAACAAACAACATTACATATTAACTATAACAAGCTGGTTTACCAACAACATTATTAACTTTCAAGGGATTACCCGATTTTTACCATTCAATTTTACAAGCTTATGATTTACCGAGTAACCTTTTTTGCATCGCATTAATGATTTCTTGAACTTACTGCAATAGTCTAATTTGTAATCTAGTTAATTGCTAACATTTTTTTCCAAATGTTAAGGAAAATGGGAAGTTAACCCTTCCCCTTTTTTTGACTCAGAGATGTCAAGACAGTGAGAGGGAGAGTCTGTACGTCTGCCTCCGATAGGGGTAACGGAGTTTCTGATTCCCTAGGGTATGACCAAACGACTCCCTCTCCAACGACTTGCAGCATTGAAACATGTTAATTAAGATTCTACTCAAATTTTGCATAATTTGTGCAATATTATAAACATTTAAAACCACTGGTAAACCTCATTTTGTTAACTTGCGACAGGCAAAGCACTTTTATTCTTATCATTATTCTAACAACTGCTCTTTTAATTATTATAACTTTAAATATTATCATTGTTATTATTATTTTTATTTCTGTTATGATTATTATTTTTGTCAGTATAACTATTATTATTGTTATGATTATTATTATTATTACTATTATTATAATTATTGTTATAATTATTTTTATTACTGCTATTATTATCATAACTACCACCATTAAAATTATAATTCTAAGTTATTACGGCAGTAGCCAACGTTTTGGCGTTTAAGAAGTAGCATTAATCAATAAATCGTAATACACCCATCACTGATTCACCTAAGTAATAATTTAATTGTTAAGCAATTTTCACCACTCTTTTTGCAAGTGTTTTGTAATGTGTTCAGTTGAGTTAACAACTGGTGTTAAGCATTAGGAAATATTAATAATATTCCGTCTTAATGTTAATGTCAAGTCATATTGAAATCCTGTCGAGTTTTTATGTAAAAGGCAAAGGAGGGGCATGAGTAAGTGAATCTCTTTTCTTCTCTTATTGCAAAGAGGAGAGTGAGCCAGATGTGGGAAGTGCCAATTAGTAAGTGGCTCAACTAGAGTAGTTCTAGGCAATTAGATTTTCGGCTATTGTCATTTTTGCAAGATTCTCCCCCGGCAATCTCCCCTGCGTTATTATCAAACCAGCATGTGACCAAGGTTCACTACTCCTTATAAAAAGGCCTGGAGGCCACGGAAAAGACAGTAAATTTTGTTTTTTACCCTCGAACGGTTGACTAAATAGTTAGAGTCCACCTCTACTATCACTTAGTCTTCCACGAGTGCGAATCGTTTCAAGTACTTCAGTCGCCTCGGCTTGCACTGGTTCGCCGTGCACTTCTGTTTTATATTTAAATAAAAGTTAGTGTTAAAGTTTACATAACAAATTTTTCGTTTTCTCTCTTTTGCCGTTTTTACTCTTTTTCAGCCGGGTCTATTACTAAGTTTGTTTTACGCGCACATCATTATGCGCTACGGTATTAGTACCCGTAGATCAACGAGAATTACAAAGTTTTTTTTACGCGCACACCATTATCCATCACGGTATTGGTACCCGTGGACCATCGGGAATTACTAAGTTTGTTTCACGTGCACACCATTATCCACCACGTTAATAGTACCTGTGGATAATTGGGTATTACTAAGCTTATTTAACGTGCCCACTATTTCTCACCACGGTACTGGTACCCGTGGATCAGCGGAAATTGTTAAGTTTGTTTACGTGCACACCATTATCCGCCATGGTAGTGGTTACATCGAAGCAAAACTAGTCGGATTAAAGCAAAAATCAGTACTCATGATGGTATTAGTACACCTGAGTTAGGTTGCGAGTCAAATTACCATTGACCCTCACATAACCTATAGAAACGATATTTTTTTTTATAACGGTGCCGGTATCATCTATACTGTGGACGGGATATCCTTCGGTACACTGGTTTGGGTGAAGTCAATTAAACACCTAAGACGAGCCACGAGCAAGTGCATCGGAATACTGCACAGCAGTCGGTTCTAGTGGGGTGAAACAGTTGTAGCCTCTTTTTAAGTGAAATGATGTGTGTACGGAAAAAACACAAAAACTATTGTTAAGGGGATAAGAGTGAAAAACAATTTTCTTACGACAGTCTCAAAAAAATTATGATGACTTGCTTTTATTATGTTAACAACATCTCAAATTTTTAGAAACCATAGCATTATAGTTTCTAAGAAAAAAGTTAGCTAACTTAGGATCTCATACACCAGCTCTGATAAAAAGGTCGTCGTCAAAACTCACTTTTTCCCGAATAACTTGGAAAATCATTTAAAAAACTAGTATGTTATTGTCAATAACAATTTAAATAATACATCTTAATTTGAGAAAGCCTGCTGTCACAGTTCAAGAAATACTTTAATTAAAGGCCCAAACTGAATCTTCTACTGTATGATATGAAATAGTTTGTACAATTCATCAAGAATAATGTTGATGTTCACTAATTTCCAATCGAAACTAACTTTTGAGGCTGACTGTACCACTTTAACCCCCTTCACTAGTGGTTATAAGATCACCACTCAGATACAATATGCTTGTTAGGTAGAAGTGAGCTTCAACGTTACGAAATAACGTAAGTCCTGTTAGGACACTCATGCCTTCCCTGACGCTATAAAATTGATTTGAGAATTTTTTTTCATAAACAAGCATTGGAAAATAAAAAATTAAAGGTACAAAACATAATATACAAAATAGATAGAACACAAAACCGCAAACTAAATAAATAAATGTTTTCTTTTTATTTTAGTATGTAATGTTATTAAAGCTGTTATTATTATAAGTATAATAGCAATATTTATTTACATAAGCAAAAAGTTGTTCCAAGAAGACTCTGAAACTTAAGCTATGGGAAATTTATAAAACGCATCCTCAGTCCACTATACACAGAATTTTTAATAACTGTAAAAACAAGAACAAAAACATTATGAACGCACTGAACTTTACGTCAAAGTTAAGGAAAAATCAAAAATACCTGAATCATTTAAAATTTAACATCATAAAGATAAGCAGCCTAATATTACGCCATACACCTTATAAGTTAGAAATATACTTATGAATCAATAGTAATTTCATTATATTTTTTTTCTGGCTTCATGATGAACATCAACAATTAAATAACGATAACAAGAAAGGTCATCGTAGATTATCCTTTACATAAAGTTATTAAGCAATCAGAGAACAGAGAAAGCATCAAGAAAACTCCAAAATTTTGATAATTGTATACATTGAACCAGATAACCACCTTTACGCAAGCGACTCATACATTATAGAGTCTGATGAAACACAGTAGGAAGAAACCCAAGAAAAAGGAATACAGAACACTCAATTTTTAAGATGATATCCTCTATTCAACAAGCAAAAAAGATTTCTTTATCAACATCACAAAAAATTGATAAAAATGATGTATGAAATATTGATCCAAAAAAAACTATGTGTCTTATACCATGGAATATAGAAGAAAAGAAAAAAGAAAGAGATTTTTTTAACTATTTCTCTGGATGTGGAACCCTAGATTATTTTTATAATGTTAGAGATCAACGAGGAAGATTATTCTAAGGGCATATCAAATATATGAATCCAGAAAATACTATTTAAGCGTTGCAGAGCGATGAACTCAAATATTGTACGATATACGCTAAACCATTAAAAGAAGCTCAAAATACAAAATGAGCTCGAAATTAACTAACTCCTTTGTTATCAACAGGTTGAGGTTATGACGTATCAAAGACATGTCTTTACATGTGCAAGACAGCATTGTATACAAATCTCAAAAACAAGGCCAACATTCGACAAAATCACTGATTTACGAGAGACAATCAGCAGTAGATGAAAATGAGTCTAATAATAAAGCCCTTTACCATTAAAAAGCTACATTCTTTTTCAAGAGAATGCATCACTTAATTATAAAATTTAATTTACAGCTTTATAAAGAAATAATAAGTAAATTCATAGTAAGTGCAATTACCATCATCAAGAGCAAAAGAAAAAAAATGAGTAATTCCTTATGTAACAGATCCATGTTTATAGTTATTTAAAGAATTTGTTTTGTTGCAATTACTTTAATTATACAAACTCATGACAAGGGCTCAAGTTATATACATTGTAGATTCAATTCAAAATCATCCGTATGGAATACAAACCTACGTATTTCTATGCATAAACCTAAGCATGACTTCTGTTTAATGTTCAGCTTGTATAGAATATATTTTAACAGAATGATACTAGATATTGAGCAGATACATACACACTTATCACTCTAGCACATAAATTGGTCATTAATTACTCTTACAAAACCCGAAAATCGTCGAAGTAATGACTGACAGATACTGACTTAGCATATTCTTGCAGGAAAGTTACAGCCGACTATTGCTAAGGGAAATTTTTTAAAGCTTTGAAGTAGTCTAGCTCATAAAAAAGGAGCTCAGTGGTGTAGGTGACTTGTATCACGGGGTGATCTTCAGTTTACCACCAGAGACCGAAAAAGTGGCAGAGCAACTGAGAATAGTGCCAACGTTACAAGCGATAAATAATAAAAAAAGTCTTGCTGTGTCAATTATATTTTTAAGTTCTGATTACAAAAATTTTACTTAAAGAATATGTATTTTTAAACCTAATAATAAAAACTGAAACTTGTTATCCACGTTCATATAACACATGAAAATGCTGATCGGATGGAAGATATACAACGCATGATAGTACATTGCATAACTTAGTAGCCAAAATATTTTAAGATAGAAAAATCAGAGAATCCGAATACTAACACGAATACGGAGAACGAAAAAAATATCAATGCAATAAATTCCAAAATTTAATGTTCTTTTCGATGAATTAGTGACAAAAGTGACGGTAATAATGACACCAAAGAAATAGACAAGGCTTATGATGACGTTCAGCCTGTTGAACAACATCAGATACCATTTATAAGATAATAAACAGAATGACAAAAAGACTATGTACATAGTCTTCCCTACGTATTGTAATGACGAGCTTAATATAGGAGCCCCTGACACTCAAAATTAACGGAGTTTAATATTCGAAAAATGACAGTCGTGGCAAATTGTAAATGATAATACGTCTTTTATGTGGAAATTTAGTATTAAAGGTAGATATTAAAGCGCATAGCCTTCTAGACAAAGCACAAAACATATGCAAAAAACTTGCCCTACATGCTAAGATACTATCAACATGGAGAAATACGATTGGCACTACAGATCATGTCTTGAAACAAGTGTCTTAACAAATCTCAAAGTATTAAATGGATTAACCATAAGACAACAAAAAAATAAAGAACATCAGAAAACCTTAACCACCTGAGAACGTGAAAAGACAAAAAATATAATTGATCATAACTTACCCTATTATTTTATTCTTTTGCACAATTCCAAGTGAATTTCATAATATCATAGATTAATTATACCTTAGTTTGTTATATTACATCATGATATTTTCTTTACTGTTATTCTTTAACACTACAAAAAACTTATATAATTATTATAGTATGTTTATTGTCATCATACTTATATGTGTATTTAGGATTATTTTCAATAAATGTTGACAAATAAGGCTAGAATAGTTAAAAAAAAAAAAGATTGAAAGTGGAACCTGTTTGAAAATTTTTGAAATATTTGATTTACCATGATACACTTCTCAGCTTAACTCAGATTACTTTAACGTAAATGTCCACCGAGTACGGCGACATTTTTGAAAAGGAGAAGCCGTAAAGTGAAGAATTACACGAAAAAAATTGTTTTTTCTCTTTTTCAACAATTAAATTTTAAGACTCTTGAAAGAGTCATTCTTCATGAAAGTCATCCCCTAACAAAGCTGTCTGTATACTTCATGGCTCTTGAAAGTGTTAAGTGACAAGCGAAGTGAGACACTAAGCCTAAAGACATAAAACCAGCAGGTGCCAAGCCGACAGCATGTATGGCAAAAAATTTTGCCTTAATCTTTGCACAATATGTAGTTGTTTGCGCAGCATTTTAGTTAGTAGCCTACTGTTACTCATTGAGTGCAGTACTTAGTTACTCAAGTAACTTTCTAAAGAGAGACTTACTGTTTTTTTCTTTTATTTGTCTTTTTATACGAGTACTTCAAAATACATCAACGCAAAACAAGTTAATAGAGGTAAAAACTATTTAAACTACTAACCCAACTTACCCAAAGCTGCTAGAAAAAAGAAAAGTATGTTAACCCGCATAATTTATAAAACTTTCTTTTTTTCTTTTTTATTAACAAATAAATAGTTGGACTGTCTGCTGGTCTCACAGTCTATGAAGAAACGTGAGTTTGCTGTCCACAAACCTCAGTTCTA